GGGGGGGGGGGGGGGGGGGGGGGTGGAAAGGAAGAAGAGGTGATATATTTCTAGCACATTACAGAACTTCATTTACATTCATAAATTCTTAAACCTGCAAGCGCTCAAATCAAGAAAATAAGTTTTTGACTCAAATCTTTATACAAATCACATTTGAATTCCAATTCACGCATAGATATTCTCTTTTGCCTATTCAGTATTTCTTGACCTTGTCAGAGTTTTTATCCAGCCTTTCCTTGTCTTAACTCCTTCCACGTGGCAGACTGTCCCTTTGTTAGACCTTTTCCTTCTGATGAGCTGGAAGAGGTGGCCAATCCGCTTCCGCCACCTAAGTGAGGCACGGGTCTTGCCGTGCTCTATCACAGTCTTGGTCTCCTTGGAGTCTTTGGTCAAGTGGTGATTCCATGACAGGCTGCAGTTTTCCAGGGATACCTCTGAGACCTTGTTCTCCTCCCATGACCCAACTCCGTTTTTCCCAAAGTTGATTGAGATGAATGAGTCTACATGATTTTTGTGTGGGTCCCCGTTATAAATTAAAATTTAGAAGAAAAAAATTCCAAAGACACACCACCTCTCAGCCAACTATACAATTAAATAAGATTTAGAAAAAGGAAAAGAAGAAAAACTTGAAAGATTCTAGTCAGTGTTTCCCAGATGTAAGCTTCTGTTTTGTTTTCCTTGCCCTTCCCCACCACTTTGCTCAGAGTTTAACCCCAAAATTTTGTTTAGTTTCTGCCTAATCTTTGCGATTACAGAACCTGCCTACTCTGATTCTCTGTAATAATTCGAACAATTCAAACTTGAACTTTTCGCTACTGTTGCTAAACAGTCTCCCCCACCGTTTACTTACTCTGTTTCTTTTTTTACTTTTGGACTTTCTGTGTTCCTGACACTGCCCCCTTCTGCCAAACCACTCATTTACCATTCCACCGTTTTTTCTTTTCCTTCTCTTGATTGCATTATACTCATTTTGAACTCTCCTCCTCTGAATAGATCATATTCCATCGTCGTGGAATACAGAAACAAATACACACCCACAAACCCATTAACGATTCTCTTCCTTTTTTTGCCAGTTTTTATATTGCACAGCTGAAAATACCAAGGAATAGTAATTTTCTTCATGATTCTGAGATTTGAAACTAGGAAAAAGGATGTATGATTTCTTCAAGATTCTGATATATATACACACAGAGCTGAAAAATGATATAATGCATATAAAGCTGATTCGGAAGTACCTTCTTGACTTGTGGAGACTTCATCGTCTGAGTTTCCGGGCTTCCAATGCCGGAATTCGAGACGGCTGATGAAAGAGCTAAAAGCGAAGATCTTGGAGAGGTTGATGGGAGTTTTCCGGCAGCTTCGGGCTGAAGAGTGGTGGCGGCCTCGTCTGGACGCTAAAATATGAAGCCTCTCGTTTAAGCACACAGCGCAGACGCCCACCACTATTTCTTTTGGATGGAAGTAACAGGAGGAGATTTGATCTCTGTACACATTCATGCTTGATTGGAAGGCAAGAAAGTTGAGAGTAAAATACAAGGCGAAGGGGGGGAAAATGAGAGGTTGAAGGTGCTTTTGGTGTTGGTGATTTATAGTCTAGAAAATGAAATGTATGCACCAAAGTAGGTCTTGGAATAGGCCCCCTAGCTAGTAAAATTTGACCCAACCCCACCAAGGACTTGATAAAGATTGGGAAAGAAAAAAAAAAAAAAAAAAAAAAA